TTTTTCAATTTTTCCGTAACAGTAGACATTGCTCTATAGCTGAGTGAAGGAGTAAGTCACTAAAGAAACTATGGTGCTGCGTCAGTGGGAGGGTATAACAAGATAATTTAGTTGTATCAACTGAGTTGATAATGTAAATTGGCCACCATGAAGAGTATCTAAGAAACTCACAGAAGTTTTTTCGTAAAGTCAACTTTGTATATTAAATACATTATTTCAGATCAGCACGATGTAAGAAGCCTTTTGGAGTTGTCCCGAGAATACCAGATAAGTAAACTAACTTCTCGCTGCGAGGAGCGTCTCTTACAGAAACAAAGCTCTGTTGAGCTGGTGATCCTGGCGCAGGAATTCTCGCTGAAGCGGCTGCTTGAAAAATGCTTGGCCTCCCTCGCAAGAATGAACTTTCAAGAGCTCAAGAACTGTCCAAATTTCGACAACATAGAAGCGGAGAATCTAGTTTGCCTCTTAAATAATCATCTTCGCTGGCTTAAGGAACAGCATGCCCGTGAAATTAGGCAACTGAGGGAACAATTTTTGAAAGAGAAAGGCCGAGCCCTGGAGATCGCTAACGAGCTGAACAGTTGTTGGGGATATAACAAACTGCCAATCAGAGGTTGCGCATGCGCATCGTATACCAAGTCATGTGACAACTGTTGCACAGTCTTAGAAAAATTTGTCAAGACAAAATGCGGCGAACTTATCGAGGCATTGCAACAGAACGTGTAGATTGAGGAAGTTATTGTGGAACTCGAAGCTTTTTTGGCTTTGATAACGGCTCTCTCTTCATACGGGACGACTGGATGTAACAGGGGCTCGAAGGATACCATCTATAGGTGGGCCTGAAGAAACGAATTTTGAAGAGAAGAGGCCCCATGGCAGATGAGATTGTGGTTTATTCTGATACAGGGCCGAAGGGAGGTCCGGAGGCATCCTTCCGCGCAAAATTTAAAAATTTAAACACGCTTCTGTGCTATTTGGTTCATTTCGGATCGCATTTCATGGAAAAGTTTTT